CAATTCTGTTCCATTTTTTAGTCATAACTTAAAGACTTTTGAAATAGGTTTTTGAAACTATAAAGCATCCAAGTAGAAAGTGCATAGATTTCATGTTTGAAATGGTTGATGACAAGTCATGTTCATCTTATACTTTTATTTAAAATTAAAATTTAGGGCAGCCCAGGTGGCTCAGCGGTTTAGCACTGCCTTCAGCCCCGGGCATGATCCTGGAGACCCGGAATCGATTCCCATGTCGGGCTCCCTGCATGGAGCCTGCTTCTCCCCCTGCCTGTCTCTCTCTCTCTCTCTCTCTCTCTCTCTCTCTCTCTCTTTCTGTGTGTGTGTCTCTCATGAATAAATCAATAAAATGTTAAAAAAAAGATTTCTCCAAAAACCCTTTAAAAAATTAAATTAAATTAAAATTTAAACTTGTACTCTTGGGACGCCTGGGTAGCTCAGTGGTTGAGCGTCTGCCTTTGGCTCAGGGCGTGATCCCAGGATCTGGGATCAAGTCCCACATCGGGCTCCCTGCATGGAGCCTGCTTCTCCCTCTGTCTGTGTCTCTACTTCTCTCTCTGTGTGTCTCTCATTAATAAATAAATAACATATTTTAAAAAATAAAAAAAATAAAACTTGTACTCTTATTTAAGATAAACCATGATAACCAAAATAATAGCATGACTTAGGGTGCTAATATGTTTCTTAGTATCTCTTTGATTACCTGACATGAGTCATTCCTACTGCCATGCTAAATATTAGAACTTATGCTGTGAAAAGCAGTAATGTCATATCACTAAAGTGATTAAAAATGAATCTCCTAGAGTAAAATACTTTCATTTCTAAAATGAGGATTATGCTACTCTCTTGAGAAGATTTTCTTCTAAGAAGGAAGGAAACCTCATAGCCATTAAAGCATTGTACAATTTCTGTATTTCAAATGAGAGATCAGTCCATAAATATTTCTAACACCTTTAATCAAAAGAGCAATCAAAGTAGCAGTTTTAAAATATACTGAATAAGGGATCCCTGGGTGGCGCAGCGGTTTGGCGCCTGCCTTTGGCCCAGGGCGCGATCCTGGAGACCCGGGATCGAATCCCACGTCGGGCTCCCGGTGCATGGAGCCTGCTTCTCCCTCTGCCTCTGTCTCTGCCTCTCTCTATCTCTCTGTGACTATCATAAATAAATAAAAATTAAAAAAAAAAAAATTTAAAAAAAAAAAAATATATATATATACTGAATAAAATTTGAATGCTAAGTGCAACAAGGCCATAGGAGATTTCAAAGGCAAAACAGTAATATCACACTTTGTAACATTTCTCAGATACTAAGCATGAAGTATTATCAAGGTTTCAAAAATTCTGTAAATAATATATACCTCTCATAAAATATATAAATCCATAAAATTAATTATGTAAAATAAAATGTGCATATCCCCCCATGCTTATTAGGGTTTTGAACCTGAAGAATGATAACTGTAATAGAAAAAAGTAAGTTTGTTTGTGTGGTTACCATATGGAAATGGGAGAAAACAGAAAGAAGCAAGCTCAGAAAATGTTTGAGTTTAGAATATGTTTATCAACCTAAGAAGTATAGTAATCATCATACTAACTGGATTTCCTTGGCAGAAGAAAGAAAAAATTGATGTGGTTCCTCTCAGCTTCCTGCTAAATACATATGAAGATGCTGAAACAAGCCTCTAGCAAGACTGAAAACTGAAACTGGCAGAAAAGCAACTCCAAGAACCTAGAAGCACCTAATACAATGCCCAGATGAGAAATATAAAATAAAGGCCAAATGCTTGCTTTTGGATAGATCATGAATAGACAAAAATGTCAGTTACCCCAAAAGTATAAATGTAGGGTGATTCCATTAAAAGTACTATTTAAAAAAAATAAAATAAATAAAATAAAATAAAATAAAATAAAATAAAATAAAATAAATAAAATAAAAAATAACTATTTGCCACCCCTGGAGCTAAAGAACCCTTCATTCCATACATGGAAAAATTCTTTTTAAAAATGAGCTGGAGGAAGAGGCAGTTAGTCCCACTAGAAAATAACACGTGTAATTACAACAATGTGGCATGTACAAATGAAGAGAAAGAAAGACCAAAGAAATCTAGGGAATTCAGAAGAAAAAGTAAAATATGTATAGACATGCCATGAAGGCAGCATTTCAAGTCAGTGAACTTTTAAATAAGTGGTTTTGTATAATTAGTCCCATATAGAAAATCAGCAACATTGGATACATTTCTTCCTCATTTCATATGTATGGTTAAGTTACAAATTGATCAAATAACTATAAAAATGAAAGCATTTAGGTATTAGAAAAAAACACTCGGGACCCCTGGGTGGCTCAGCGGTTTGGCGCCTGCCTTTGGCCTAGGGCACGATCCTGGAGTCCCAGGATCGAGTCCCGCATCGGGCTCCCTGCGTGGAGCCTGCTTGTGTCTCTGCCTCTCTCTCTCTCTATGTCTATCATGAATAAATAAATAAAATCTTAAAAAAAAAAAAGAAGAAAACACTCATAGTGTTTTACAGGATAATGGGAAAACCACAGAAAATAAAACTCATTTGTGAGACACAAAATGAACTTGATAAATTCTCCAAGTTCTTTTTGTTAAATTTTATTGATTTCATGGAAGTTAATAATAGCACAGTGATTCTTACTATTCAAACATGACAGTTAAGGAAACTTAAGATCACTTCAGCAGGGAGCTATTTCTACTTGTAGACTGGTAAGACATTACAGTCACAAATAGGCTACTGGATTTGTAATTAAATGGGCTTATTTATCATAGCATTGTCTTTCTATACTTTCAATTCAAATATTATAAGAAACATAGTGTTGTAATGAATTACCCCTTCGTATCTTTCTCTTGGCTCCTTACACCATCTAAATGTCTAGGTTTTATTTTTAGCCATACTAAAATCTATTTTTAGTGGTAACATAGAATTTTGTAAGGGTAAATGATCATTCCTGAACTTGATTTCCTTGGGGATGTGTAAATCATTTATTTGACTCAGCTCTTGTTCTTATCCTATTCCAACTCTTTATCCTATCCTATTCCAGCTCTTGCTGCTTTTATCCACTTGAATGCAATGATTCATTAAACATCTAGAATTCATAAAGACAAAGTTGAAGACGGCAGACATTGCTTAGGTATCTTAGTTAGCAACACAAACTTTCACTGGGACTTTGGCAAGTTTTTTAACCAAACTGTCTCAGTTTCTCCACCTCTAAAATGAGAAACATAGTAGCGTGTAATTTACAGTGATTTTCTGAACATGAAGTGAGGTATTGTGTGAAAAATACTTAGCACAGAGCCTGGCATATAGTAAGTACTTAATAAATATTAAGTAGTAATCATATTAATTATTAACTACTATTAACTATGCTATGAGACAGAACAGTTTCATTTCCTGAAGGAGTGATATTTAAAAATTTATAAGAATTTTGAGGCAGGACATTTTGCAGAGGGGCCCTTTTCTTTTCTTTTTTAAGATTTTATTTATTTATTTAAAAAAACCCAGAACTTAATGCATATGAATATTTATCTGATATTTACTTTTTATTATTTTTATTTTTAAAAAAGATTTTATTTATTTATTCATGATAGAGAGAGATAGAGAGAGAGAGAGGCAGAGACATAGGTAGAGGGAGAGGCAGGGCTCCCTGCGGGGAGCTCGAGACTCAATCCCAGGACCCTGAGATCATACCCTGAGCCAAAGGCAGTTGCTCAACCACTGAGCCACCCAGGTGCCCCAGAGGGGCCATTTTCTAAGTCTTTTCTTGATGTTCTTAATAGTTTAGTACAGTGTTCTCATCTGAGACAAAATGGCTTTGAAAATCATTGATTTTATAACAAAGAATATAAAAACCAGAATACAGTCAAAAATCTCTTCTGTTCTTATAAAGAAATAGTGTTACTCTCCAAAATAAAGGAAGACATCTATCCCTTGGAAATCCTCACTGCTTTAAATACCCAGAAGCTCACCACGCTTCCAACCTCCCCATCTCCCCATACGTGTCCAGTAGGTAGGATGCGTGTTTTTTTTCAAAGTGTGGCCACATGACTATCTGCTTCTGGAATGCATAAGGAGCTGTACTTAAACATGCAGCTCTTGGGTCCCAGCCCAGACTGAATAAACCAGAATCTATAGGTGGAGCTGAGCAGGCTCATGTCTAACAAGTTTTGTACGCAGTTCTTACGAAAAGTGAAGGTTGGAAAATTTGAATTTTATTAGAACACAAGAAAATGCCGTCAGTTTTTCTGTCTTCTGGTGTTTACAGCCTGGAGCAAATCCCCCTTTCTTTCACAAATAAGCTTTGACTTCCCTGGTGGATCAATTAAATAAATGAACAGTTTACTGGTAACAACTTTAGTACTCCCAACAGAAACCTGGAGCTGTTATGGTCTAGGAAAAAGAAATACACAAAGTAATTAAAGAGTCAAAAATTGCTGTGCTTTGACTTTTGCAAAGTGTAGGAAGACTTGGGGGGCGCCTGGGTGGCTCAGTCGGTTGAGCGTCTTCCTTCAGCTCAGGTCATGATCCCAGTGTCCTGGGATGGAGCTTTGCTCAGCAGCGAGGAGCCTGCTTCTCCCTTTTTTGCTGCCCCTCCCCCATCTCATGCTCGCACACTCTCTCTCTCAAGTAAATACATAAAATCCTTAAAAAAAATTGTGGTAAGACTTGGAAAGACTCATGGGTTTTATGGTTCTTTTACCACTCTAGGAAACCCAAGCCTTCACTTTTGACATTTCCTCATCCCTTCCAGACTCTTCAGGAGAAGCTTCTTGCCTCAGGATAAAATATGTTTTTTTAATAGGGTTGATGGCATGTGAGGAAAATTGGTGAAGCCAGTGCAGGGTACTTATAATGTAGCATAAAGCATTTTCTTGCTCCGAAGTGATTTTGAAAAGCTGATAGTCAATACAGGAATTAGGAGATTATTTTCAGCTGTCTATATTCTAAAAATGTTTACCACATTAATAATTATTTTTGTGGTTTTTATAGGAATCGTATTGCCTCCTAAGGGGAATATAGATATCCCAGTGTTATTTATGCCCAACATTATGAAATTACACAAAACAGTGGTCATCGTTCAAATGATGAGGGCAAACAGAGAAAGCTGGCCAATTGACAATTTTGACGAATTGAGCCCAGAGATGAAAAGGTAACTTTTAAGTAAGGACAATTGAAGAAAAATGGTTTTATTTTGACTGGCGCTGACGTGATCACTTTCTGTTCTGTGTTATGTAATGTAAAGCTCATGATTTTATATTCTCTGAGGTGTTGAAATTTATATGTTCCGAAGAGGAAAATACATTTGTTATGTGGGTAGAATATATATCATTTGACGTTCAGAGGGATTTGAAGTTCAGAGTGATGAGCAAGTCAACCTTAAGTATCACGTCAATGAATCAGAGTCAGAGACATGCAAAGGGATTCTTTTTGACTGGGAAAATACTTATTGCTGAGACAACAAATAATAAATCTCTAGAGAACAACCTGAAGCAGCTTGTCTTGGCAAAGTATCGGGACTTGGGATGCTGACATTCACCAAGTGGTGGCCCTGTGCCAGGTGTGTATGACACCCTGAGGCAACACCACTATGACTACTGCTGCACTGTGTTATTGCCAGGATACAGATTGCTTGGATTCTCTTTGCTTTACTGAAGTTTAAGCCAACTCCAATAATGATCCAAAATATATGTTTTCTCTGCTTTTATAATTTAATTAAATAATGATCTAGAAATCTTAATTAAAAAGAAATTCTGTCTTTGCCTTACGTGTATATATTTCTTCTCCACATTAAAAAAAAAATCTTTTCTGTGAGCCCATTAGTGTCCATTCTGCCACGATTTTCACCATTCCTATAGTCAAGACACCCTATGAATTTGTGGGCCCCAGTGTAAAATGAAAATGAGAGGACCCTTGTTCAAAAGTGGTTGAGAATTTCAGGACGGTTACAGTGGTGTGTTAAACAAGCATGGAACAATTCTAGGTGTGGGGTCCACATGCTGTGTGTTGCTCAAGTCATGTGCTCATGAAGCTGGTCCTGCCTGCTGTATCTTCTGTTTCATTTTTAACAAGAAAAGCCAATTGTCAACAATGATCAGAACCATTTTGTACAATTACTGTTGTCTTGATGGTGTATGACAGACTTAACAATATTTTGACAAACGGCCATTTTTAACCAATATCCCCAAAAAGTAGGTTCTTTGTCACTTTCTTTTTATTATTATTATTATTATTATTATTATTATTTATTTATGAGAGACACAGAAAGAGAGAGAGGCAGAGACACAGGCAGAGGGAGAAGCAGGCTCCACGCAGGGAGCCCGATGTGGGACTCGATCCCGGGACCCCAGGACCAGGCCCTGGGCCGAAGGCAGGCGCTAAACCGCTAAGCCACCCGGGCATCCCTCTTTATCACTTTCTGATATCTTGTACTTAATGGCATTTTTTGTGTTTTGTGTTTTGCCTGTCCAATTTAGAATACAACCCATAGGAACTGTATTACCTCTGATTAATCACATTTTAGTCACATCAATAAATACCAACTTTTAAAAGCAGGGGAAAAGCTCTTCAGTTTTAAGTTCCATCTCACAATCTTTGCATTACATTTTTCTTTGTGATAATTCCCCAGGGTTTGCTTTGAAGTGTTCATAACACTTGCAGAAAATGTGGTGTATTTCATAGTTTCTCTCTATCAGAGTTTAAATTCATGAGCTTTGCTAAAATACCATTAAGTTAATAATGAATATTCTCTTTTATGCTAATATTGAAAGTGTTCATATTTTTTGTTCACTCTTCCTAACTAGAACCCTGGGAATAGAAAGTGGAGAAATCCAAGCAATACACTGGATATACCCTATTCTTGGACTTCCTCAGGCACTACATTCTAAATGCCCTCAAGGTAGGTATGCTGTAGAGTCACAAAACACTAAGATTCCAAGTGATCTTAGAGGCTCCTTTAATCCTGTCTCTTCTTGTACAAGCAAGAGAACTGAGGTCCAGAGAAAGTAAATCGTGAGGTGAATAGCCCTACTGGTAGGAGCGCCAGGACTGAATCTGGTCTCCTAACCGTAAGTCCAATGATGTTTCCACCAAACCACACCATTTCCTGTTGTTCTTCCTGTTGCTGAAACCCCGGGATCAGCTAAGATAGAAAATAACATTAACTTCAGGCCTCTTTATCCCACATTCTGTGAGGGACTCGGAGACCTTCCCTGGATCTATAAGATTCCCAGGTACTTTGGTTCTTGCGTCACATTTATTTGCCAGATTCCAGCTTCTGTGTAACTCTAAGTCTCATCCAAGAACTGTCCTATGGGGACACTGATCCCTCTATTCTCTGTTGTCCCAGACACTAAACTTGTATGATGTCCTCCAAAAACCAGTCGGAATGTACTGAAGTTTTCAAGGAGGTTCACTTCACTACCATATACACAACATAAAAATTCCTACTCTTAAAATGCCTTTCTTTTTCTCAGCGACCGCTCTTTTTCTTTCCCATATTCCAAACTTCTCTGAAGTTTCTGTGTGTTCTCTTTCCTCAGTACTCTTCTCACTTTTTCCACATTGCTTGCTTTTCTCATCCTCTTTCCAGAGTAAGCCTAAGAAACACAAATCCTCTTAGATATCTGTAAAGCAACCTCTTACCAGGCCTTACACATAGTTCTTCCTAACTAAGGAATACAGAATTGCTCATCTCCGCAAAGAGATATCTCTTTTGGAGCCTCTCACTTGAGCAATACATATGAGCCAAAAGGAGTCCTGAAATTTTGAATTTTTCTTCTCCTTCCAGTATCAATCTTTGGTAGTGAAACAGAGTTAGTCTTCTACTGGCATATATTATTTCACCACCCTTCAAAAGAAGAGAAAATAGTAAATTTTGCTTGTGGATAAATACATTTCCCCAGATACACTGAAGGCCGAGGCTATATAATGCCTTATGTCATTTAATTTTAACTGAAGGAAAAATCCACATATCTAGCAGTACCTTTGACAGTAAATGTCATTTATTTTACTTGAAGTATTTTTGGTCTTAAGTGAAAAAATTATCAACACATAAATGTTTCAAATATACTAAATTATCTTCTGAATGCTCCAGAAAAATGTCAAAGCGTTTCTTTTATCTCCTTCTGGAATATAATTGTTTGTATACTTTCCATAGAGCTGAATGGTTCAAAATTTATAATACAGTCATCTGATCAAAGTGATATAATAAAGCCTAGACATTACTCTGTTGAAATACTAGCAGCAACGTTGCTCATGTTGACTGCAGACACAGTTTTGTTTTTCCCAGATTAAAGATTTAAAGCAGATTTTTTTCAGTCTGAAACGCCTGCAAAAACATAAAATCATAAATTTCTTGCAGTTTTCTTCAAAGAAAGTTAAACATGCTGCAGAAACAAAAAGGCATTTTCCATCAAGTCACTTCTGTTGGTAATTACTCAATTTTTAAATCAAGTGTGAGTTCTATAAATAGCCTGTGTTGCTTTAGCACAACCCAGTAGTAACATCAGTGTTCTGAAACAGATTGTGTATTAGTTATTAAATCATTTTAGCAGAAGTCTGAAGCCTATTCTGGTAATTATTTTTGTCTACAAATGCCCTTGAGAAAAAAATAAGTACAATTACATAAATACATATTGCTTACTTTCTGTACAGTCCATCCTTCATTCTTCTGAACACATCAGACATAACCTATTGCTTTCCCTGCTCAACTGCATCATCATCGATGTTTACTGTTTCTTTTCTGTTTTTGTGTGTCTGTCACTCAGGTTATTCTTAAACCCAGTATACTTTTGTTGTACTGTGAGCCACCCCTTCTTTTTGTGTATTCCTATCTGCTCCTATCCATTGGGGCAGATAATTGGAAAGGACTCTACTACTGTCACAGTGTGAAGACAATGGAATGCGAATCCATTGTGATTGAGTAATCCGTGCATTGCCAGGGCACTAATTTCCGAAGGACTTAGAGGACAAGACCAGTGACACGATACTAATTGTAACTTTGATCACACTAATTTCCAATTTAATGCTTTAAGACTGAAGCTAATTAAAACCAGAGAAGCCTGTACATTTTCCTCAGTCATTTCAACCCTCTTAATTTACATCTTGCATTTCACTACTTATTCTAAGTTCAAACTGTTCCATATCAACCTGTGAATTTGAGAATTAAAAATGAATTTATATTAGATATTTATAAATGTGGTATGTATTGTGAAAAAACATAAATTTGAGGACATTATTTGATTGTGCAGCTTAGATGAATATATTATTATTGATGCCACAACAGTATGATATAATACATTTTTAAAGCTTTTTTATATTATGATTCCCATTTATCCCTTATATTAATGTTTTATGTGCATCTGAATTGACAAAAATATAGCATCTAACATATGTATTTTAAAGATTTATTTATTATTTTTTAGAAGGGAAAAGGGGCAGAAGAGGAAGGAAAGAGAGAATCTCAAGCAGACTCCCCGCCCCGCACCCCCCCACCTTAGCACAGAGTCTAACATGGGGCTCAATCTCAAGACCCTGAGATCATGGTCTGAGCCGAAATCAAGAGTCAGACATTTAACCAACTGAGTCACCCAAGTGCCCCAAGCATTTAATATATTTTTGAGAAATAATATCTTTATTTATGTGGACTCTAATATACTTGGCCCCATGATATTATAGAACTAATGCCAGGGGAATGCATTAATACTCCTTTGTGTAATTAGTAGTTGTATTTAGAAATAATATTTTGGTTTCTCACAAGATCACTGACAACCTCTGTACTTGATATAAGAAAACATTGAAATTTAATATATATATAAAAATATAAAAAGTTTCAGGGGCACCTGGGTGGCCCAGTCGATTGAGCATCCAACTCTTGGTTTCAGCTCAGGTCATGATCTCATGGGTCATAGGGATGGAGCCCTGCATCCAGCTTCCTGCTCAGCAGGGAGTCTGCTTGAAGATTCTCACCCTCTGCCCCTTCCCCTGTTTGTGATCTCTCTCTTTTTCTCTCTATCTCAAATAAATAAATAAATCTTTAAAAATATATGCATAAAGTTTTAATGTTGTATATTAAATTAAAATTATAATCACATTTTAACATGAATTTTAAATCATTACCATTTTATTTTTTTCAACTTTATTTTTAACTGTTAGTGTACTTTGTAAATTTAAAAGCAATTCACAAGAGAAAATCAAAATATTTTACTGAAATAATTTAAATATGAATTTTAAGGTACATGTGAATAAAGAATAGGAAATATTTTTAAAGTATTATTACAAAATAAATGTTATAGAACTTATTTTTAAAAATTATTTGAAGGTATTTGCTATAGTATTACTATGTAAGTAGAGCTGGGTATTTGCCACAATGAACATACAGATAGCTGAAAAATTCACGTGTTCATGACCACCAGTTGAATTATTGATATAACGAGGTGAGTTCCTGAATCAAATTTTACATCTTAATATAATCTTCTGTAATCTAGTGTATATCTTCCAGGTTAATCTTTGTCATGCTATTTTTACATATTATTTAATACTCTTATTTGCTTCCAAAATGTTAGTGTGTGTGTGTGTGTTAATGCCAGACACAGTAAGTCAAAGTATGCTAAAGGATATTTTTCATGACATAATTCATTTTCTTGCATCTCAACTGGAAATGTTTCTCTCCTATAGTTGTCGTAGAATGTCAGTCCAGGAAGAGGATAGAACAGGAAGTGGAAGTCACACTGACTGGTGATTTTTTTGGAGAAAGTCCTATCTTAGATTCAACAGATTTTATAGTGATTCCAAAAAGAAATTCACGTGGTTCTTATGAAGATATTGATGGTAAGAGAACCACAGTCATGGATATAAAAAATGATAATAAATAAAAACTCAATTTCCTTAAATTGCAGTTTGCTGGAGCACCTGGGTGGCTCAGCTGGTTAAACACCTGCCTTGGGTTCAGGTCATGATCTCAGGGTCCTGGGATCCAGCCCCATGTCGGGCTCCCTGCTCAGTGGGGAGCTTGCTTCTCCTCCCCACTCCTGCTCTCTCTCTCTCTCTCTCTTTCACTATCTCTGTCTCTCTTTCAAATAAATATTTAAAATCTTTAAAAAAAAAAAAAAAGAAGTTACCTCATTCTATTTAAAAAAAAAGTTGCGATTTGCTGATTCCTCAGTTACATGAAAATCCACACCCAATATGTTTCAGTTACAATATATCCTTAAAATAGTGTTTAGCAAGTGTTCAGTGATGTTTGTTCTCTTCATATAGTGGTCATTTCCAAAAGGAAAATAATTATAGTTGTTAATGTATTTATAAGAATAGATTATTATTCTGTCATCAGTGAGAAGAGAAAAAACTGTAGTAACTAAATTCCACATCCCTTCACTTTTAAACTCTTCCTTTATTTAAGGAATATGATTGAAGCCACCTTTACAGTTTTAAATTCAGAAACACGACCTTGCAAAAAATGTTCTGTATTTAAAGAAATTGAAAAATTGACATAAATTAAATGCAATCCCCAAATAAATTTTGTATAATAATCCCTCTGGCATTTAAAATTTTAAAGAAAACTTTTCAACAAGTTAATATGAAGATCTGGCATAATCAAATCCCAGTGATACAAGGTTTATTTTTCAGCTGTCTTCCAGATGAACTGAGGTAGAATGCTCCTATTTCTCATTGAAAGGGAAATCTCCTATGGCTGTATTTTATTAAAATCAGGGGGGGAAATCAGTGTTTAAGTGTTATTTAAAAAACAAATTGACCACAAAATTAAGTATGAAATTCCTGCAGAAATAATATATCTTCTCTGGTTTTCTCACTCATATCTATAGGTTTTTTTTTTTACATTGAATTTAGTATTATTATCTTTGTGTCTGATTTAATTATTTCTGTGATCAAAGAATATAAATGAGATATAAGTGAAGAGAGATAGAATATATGAGTATAGAGAGAGTACATAAGAGTAAAATAGTTTTTAATTTTTTATTTTTTTATAATGTTGGCTGTTTCTATTAAATAAGAGATGTTCAGGACACCTGGGTAGCTCCCCAGTTGAGCGTCTGTCTTTGGCTCAGGGCGTGATCCGGGGGTGTAGGATGGAGTCCCGCATAGGGCTCACCACAGGAAGCCTGCTTCTCCCTCTACCTATGTCTCTGCCTCTCTCTGTGTGTCTCTCATGAATAAATAAATATAATCGTTTAAAATAAATATATAAATAAATAAGAAATGTTCATTTTTAAATAATTCCAGAAACTTCTAAAGTGATACGAATAGTCATCCCCAGCTCAAGTCAGTCCTAGTTGGGTGGTTGTTACACCTTAATAAATTTGATATATACCCTCTTGAGCTTCCAGCCACACCCAAGGGGTGGAATCGTGCTAGGAATTTAACCAGCTATTTTAACCAAGACCAAATGACAATGACAAATAAGACAGGCTTATTTCTCTTTCACAGGAAAGCCTGGACTTCTAGGAGGTCCCAGGGAGTGTGGTGCCTGGGTCCCTTAGATCATCCAGGGACCCAGATTCCTTTTCTCTTGTTGCTTCACTATCCCCTGTGTTGTCCCCTTCTGCAGATCAATTGTGCTGTCACATCTGCAGTGGAGAGCAATCTGGTTCCCTTGAAAGCCATGGCCTAAAAAACAGAAAAAAAAAAAAAAAAAAAACCATGGCCTGGGGTTGCATACGTCATTTATATTTGCATCTCTTATATTTGTATGCCATTGGTCAGAACTCAGTCATATGGACATGTCTAGCTGTAGTGAAGGCTGGGAAATGTAATCTCTTTATCCAGGCCCAGATAAAATTTGAGTACTTTCTATTACTAAAAAAGAAGAAAGGAAAAAATAAATATTGAAAAGACAGTGAGCAGCCTCTGCCCTACTTTATTTACCGTGGACTGATAAAATCTATCTGTGGTCAATCTATCCAAAGGTACTTATTAAAAACTTATTACACATTAAATGTTTTTCTGGGCCTAGAAACTCCTACCTCTCATACCTCTCATAAATCTCCTTCCGTGAAACTCATGTCCCCACTCTTTAGGACAGAGTTTCAGTCACTTTCTGGGCAGCATGTCAAATCCCTTACTGTTTATCTGTATTTGTTGAAGCTGTAATATGTAAAGATGAGAAGTATTTTTATTTATTTATTTATTTATTTATTTATTTATTTATTTATTTATTTTTGCTTTCTTTTCTCTGCATGTCTGCTTTTCTCCTCTCTAATCAGGCCTACTTTCTCTGTCTACTCATCAACTTATACACATGGCTCAGTCATGAAGAGTCAACTGCCTTTCACTTTTCTGGATACTCCTTGGTGTCTTCCAAAATAGATCATTCAAACTAGAGTTTTGTTGTTTGCAAACAAGTATTCTGAGAGTAAATATGGGAGAGGATCTGGAAATAATAAATATTTCTTAAATGAATTATAAAAATGTTAAAACAATCTCCCCCATACTCTTTCCTTATATGGTTTGGAAGGTAATAATTTAAAGACTGGAGATGGAATTATGAAATGAGTACCTATGTTACAAGTACCCAATGTACTTCATAAAATCTTTGGAGTTACAAAAAAAAGTGGTTAAAAAAAGTGGTTTACACTAATTATTGTCTTATTTATTTACTAGCTAGGTATTGATAGTATGTATTGTGTGAGTTAAGAAAATATTAAGTTGCACAGACATTTAATTTGTAATTATGTTAATTTATTAGTTATTTGTTTTTTTCTCTTTGAATTTTAGTTTTGTAATTGCAGAAATGCCAACTGAATCCTAGACTGTTTAAATTTATAAAAAATGAAATAAACATGTCAGGAGAGGGGAATTTTCTATTGGAAGTCTGTTCAATTACTCTATTTTAAAGAGTATCTATTCAAAATGAAATCAGACTGATGGAAACCATTTCCATTTATCTCAGAAATGTTGTAAGTTTAATACAGATTTTGCTTTAGTGAATAATGTAGAAGCATTAGAGAAATGTAGGAATTATAATTTTTAAGTAAGTGAAACCCTGCCGACTTCCTTTTCTTCAACCAGTAGATAAGACTAAAGGGAATTCTGATTGTTTATGCAGATCATGGATAAAAAATATCAGTGTAGATTAACCTCAGAGTTCAAATGTGTAACACAACTGAATATCCAGTGAGAAATAAATATAAGCACTTTTTATTGAAATGGAACATATTTTAATAAGCAGCCAACTTTTAGTAAATGTACCCCAGTAAATGTCCAGTATATCTCTAAAGTAAAGTAATTGTTTTGTGTGTCATTCTGCTGTGCTTAAGTGAGTTTTAATAAATGAGTGTTCAAACTTTGATTTCTATTTGAAATCTATCCTGTTGAAGGCAAAATGTTGATGTTTCTGTGACATTGTGAAGGAAGGTACAAAAAATGCTTATACATAGGATCCATTTTAATATGTTCTTGCTACATGAAATTACTTATACCTTTTTTAGGTTGCAAGCTAAAGAAATTATAATTCTGAAAAATAGAAATTGATTAAATGTTATTACTAAAAAAAAAAGTCTACTTCCTTCTATATAAGCAGGGTCTCTAAGGAAGTTGCCAGTATCATTTTGGGACATTTGAAAGGCAAATTAAGAAAATAGCTCTTGAAAGTACAGCTTTTGTTTTTTTAAATTTTATTTTATTTATTTTTTATATTTATTTATGATAGTCACACAGAGAGAGAGAGAGGCAGAGAGAGAAGCAGGCTCCATGCACCGGAAGCCCGACGTGGGATTCGATCCCGGGTCTCCAGGATCGCGCCCTGGGCCAAAGGCAGGCGCCAAACCGCTGCGCCACCCAGGGATCCTGAAAGTACAGCTTTTGATATGGCTCTTACTTTATTGCTTCATTACTTTTCATGATGAAAAATAATACTTAATATTGAAAATAACAATTTGGAAGGTTCACAGGCTTATATCTTCCAGTGATTCCCTCTAAAATAGCTTTTTCTGTGTTCAACACCACCAAACTCAAGAAGTTTATCTATTTTTTGACTAAAGACATTTTAATTTGTGAATGTTTCTGTTCTGAAGCATGTCCTATATAGAAGTAGATTTGTTCAGTCCCCTCCCAAACTTAACGTTTTTCTCTGTCTTTATGGTACCTGAATATTTGATAAATCCATTAACCACTCCTTTGTCTGGGTTCATTAAAGGCATCTGGTAATAACTTGATTCCTTTTCTGCCCATATTCGAAAGAGGTAATCAACTTGCCTGCACTCTGTAAGTCTACCTGCTTGCCTTTCCCTTCTCACCTATTTCTTTAAGGACAAGTCTGACCACGAAGTCTGAATACTATTTTAGTCTTCAGTATATGCAAAGACAAACCAGCTCTTTTCTCCCTGTGTGTGTAATTTAATTATAGTATACCCAACACATTAAATAGTGTTCAAAAGAGTCATGTTGTTCATGCCAGTTTGTACTTCCTTTGGTCCCTTAAATCCATTATGGAAATCAAAGTCTCTTAAATCCATTATGGTGGAAATTTTAAAACTCTCTGGCTTGGACCATGATGCAGTTTTAGGCATGATCACTAATTAAACCCTTATATTCCTGCACACAGGTTTGTGACCAAATGAGAAGTAGATTCAAAATAGGGCAGATGGAGATCAAAATGTTACCTCTATTCATTATAAAGTGACTTGGCACTATGGATTCATTTGGGTTTATTAATACCTTCCACCAAAATGAAGTGAAGTGCATTTACCCGAGACTAGCCAGTTGTAGATTCCTGGCAGGAGCAAACAACCTACACATGAAGGAGGAAAAGAAAGTGCACATTCTGGATTCAAGACATTAGGAAAGAAAGAGGTCTGTTCATCTACTCATGT